GAAGGAAAGCAGAAGGCGAACGTTCGATTGTCGGATTACGTGGTAGGCCTAGTGCAGGCTATGAACTACGGATGTGCAGATTCCGACGACGTACAAACAAGCACGTGCAAGCAAGTACTGGCAGCAGTGGAGAGCTGCAATGTTGGTGGAACTTCAATCGTTGAAGGGTCACAAGACCTGGAAACTTGTACCCCGCAAAGATGCCAAGAAAGTGAAGGTGATAACGTGTAGGTGGGTCTTTGCTGTGAAGCGAGATGAGCGTGGACGAATCAAACGATTCAAGGCGCGACAAGTGATCCATGGATTCAAACAACAACTTGGGATTAACTACTCTGAGACCTATGCACCTGTGATCCGGTTCGAAACCATACGTGCGGCTATCTACTACGCTGTACAAAGAGGTTGGGAGGTGTTGCAAATTGAACGTGAAGACGGCTTTTCTGTATGGAGACTTGGACGAGACTACCTTCATGGAGCAGCCTCCTGGCTTCCAGGTGGATGGACCTGGGTCCATTTGCAGATTGTTGAAGAGCCTGTACGGACTAAAGCAAGCACCGAACGTTTGGAATCGCACGCTTCATGCGAAGCTTGTTGCGATGGGGTTTACTAGGACGGACTCTGACTACGGCCTATATGCATTGAGGAAGGATGGTGAAGTCAAGTTGCTATTGACTGTTTACGTGGACGATCTACTGCTGATGGGTTCACGTGACCTGTGTGCCACAATCGCTGCCTCACTGCAAGAGACATTCGAGCTCACGACGATGGGCACAGTCAAATATCTCTTAGGCGTCGAGATCCTGATGGACCGGCCGCGCCGGCAAATAGTGTACTGCCAGAAGCAGTACGTACTGGAGGTGTTGAAGCGTTTTCATATGGAGAACTGTAATGGCTGCGCTACACCAGAAGCTACGACGCCCTCGAAGACAGACGTGCCTGCTTCGAAGGAGTATCTTCCCTACAGAGAACTGGTGAGTGCTCTCCAGTACCTCGTTAGTGCATCGAGACCTGACATAGCTCATGCTACCCGACACCTGGGCAAGTATCTTGCGAGCTATGATCATATGCATTTCGCACAAGCCAAGAGGGTGCTGCGTTACCTGAAGGCTACATGTGACTACGGACTAGTGATGAATGTGAAGCTACAGACTGATGTGCAAGTTAGTGGCTACTCTGATGCTGATTATGCGAACGACCCTGTGGATCGACGGAGTATCAGTGGCTACATCACTATGCTGGACGACAACGTCATCTCCTACGCATCTCGCAAGCAAGAGATCAACGCGCTTAGTACCTGTGAAGCTGAGTACGTAGCAATGGCAGAGGCGACCAAGGACTTGTTGTGGCTTGCTGGCCTATGCAAAGAGTTGAGCTGGAAGCATCCAGTACCTCAACTACTGGGAGACAATCAAGGAGCCATTGCCTTAACTGCGAAACCTGGCAAACATTCGAAATCGAAACATATCGATAACAAGTACCACATGATCAGACGCCATGTGGAGTTGAAGCAACTTACAACCCAACACATCGGAACTGATGAGATGGTGGCCGATATAATGACAAAGGCACTTGCAGTGGTGAAGTTCACGCACTTTCGCAAGGCTATGAAAGTCTTACCTATTGTGTCGAGCGACGACAACGTATCCGAGGACATGGCTACAACTAAGACTACTGCTACTGCGTTGACTACTGCTGTTGATGCGGAGGCTGTACCTGAGCGACATTGATGAAGACGAGGGCGATCGAGTGGGAGTGCTGTTACTGAGTGGACTGCTATTGTCTTTGAGCTGCGACTACGCTACTACTAGGACTATGGCGGCAACTAGGGTGCGCGTGTGTGATCGCGTCGACTTCCAAGTGCGTCGCCGAGATCAAGTGGGAGTGTGAGCTATAAAACTTA